ATCTGCTTCGGATCCGGCACTGAGGGCATCAGCAAAGAGGAAGTCTCTGATGATGTCTATCATGACCTTGGTTTTGGCTTGGAGCCTTCTCAGGTTAAACAGATTGCCAACTGCATGGTACTTGATGCCGATTCTAACATCACCGTCTCTGAAGGCATCGGTCAGTATTGCGGAGAACATGATGCTGATCAGTGTCAGCGCCAGGCCACAGCTTGATGTCGTTGGAGACTGGAAAAGTGCATGCCATGGGACTGGCAATCCAAGGAGATGAACTTCTGTAGGCATCCATACTTAGCCATGATCTTTCAAATACCCTCTCTACTTACAGTATCGCTCTAGAAATAAAGGGACACTTCCTATATTTTACATGTTGCCAGCTCCGTAATCAGACGCAGCTCCGCGAGATTTTCCATAGCTTCGATTAACTCGTCGATGATCCCTTAGTCATTTTGATGTTTTTAGACATTCCGTTTATTCAGTTCCTGTTTTTAGTTTGACATTTCCGTTATTTGTTTTTATATTTAATTATCTACCTTGTAGTTCTTAGTATTTTCATTTTAATTAACTTCTACATTCTATAATCAATGTTAGATTGGTTAGTTTCTACGTTTAGGGTTGTCTTTTATTAGATTTCATATGCAATTTTACTTTTTGAATTTAAAACACCGTGTGAGAACCGTCGGTCAAAGGAATGAGCGGGGTCAAAGTATATCTGACCACCTTATAAAGGGAGTTCCTCGTCAAACAGTGATAATTAATTTAAAGGTAAAGGAAAGTAAATGGAAATATGCCGTGAAGTTAAAAGGATCGGTGCCCTGGTAATACTAAAAATCTGATTCACTTATGTACGGAAATTTCATAGTTGATTATCTTGGACTCCTGACTAACAGAATGCACATATGAAAAGGTAAACAAAAAGAACTAGACAGAACCGATAAGTACCGAAAAATTGAAACCTAACGATAGACCCTCAGTAATAACGATAACAAATGAAAGAAATTAACGATCTTTAA